TTAAACCTAGACCAGAGCGCTCAGCAGTTTGTCTGCAGCAGTTTTCTCACCCCAACCTCATCCAACCTCCCTCCCTTGGCCCCGCGCACCTGCCGTGGCAGCACATCTGGAGAGGCTTCCCGAACCTCGATTTTTCGGGTTGCATCTGCATCGTTTGTTGTTGTTGCCTTTTTCTTTGCAGAAAATCCAGCGCCCCCCCCCCCCCCGGACCTGTGCGATGCTCACCGGGGTCTCATCAAACCATTGTGCCTAGTGGGGACTTAGACGTTATTTTGCAGACTCAACCGCTAACAAAGCAATACCATAGACAAACAGGTTGCAAAAAATGATTCTAAGCATCCACCATACGGTGGGGGCCTAAAATGGCTCCTCTCCTTACGGGCTCATCCCTTGATATGTCCTGGAAGCTCACATCCAAATTTCCTCAGTGACCTTCCGAGCTGGAGAATTAGCTGATTTGCCCCAAGTCCGCTCATGTGTTTGCAACTCTCCGCACAATGGAGCCGACTTACTATCATGCTTCCATGGGTCAACTCATATGGGGGGGGGCCTCGAAACTAATTGAGGTTGGTTCCCCGTTCTTTGTGGCTTTAAAGGGAAACCAAACTGAAAACCATTGGGGGGGGGGGGGGGGGGCAACCTTCAAAAAAACAAGCAGCGGCGCGACCCACACTGCAGAACTGTGCTTGTGTGCTGTTCCTGGGGCCTGGTGTCATACTTGCCGGTCTTACTTGCCCAGTCATGCGAATGAAGGGCACCAACAAAAAACTGAGTTCGAAGAAACGCAAGAGAAGCAGAGCGCTCCTAAGTCTACTTTGAAGATCACACCGCCGAAAAAGGATCGCACTGCCGATCGCACTCAAAATTTGCCGAGGTGACGCCTAGCGGCAAGCGAAAGTCGTTCTCCCCGACGCGAATCGGCCGCCCGGGTCTTGGCCGCCCGGCCGTGGGCTCGCCCATCCGCGGGGGATGCAGCGCCTGCGCCCAACCCCGAAACAACGCGTGCAGGGGGAGACGAGGTGTGCTGGTCCACCTGTTTCGTTGCTCCACCCCCCTTCCCCCGAGCAAAAGGTCCAACCTTCTGTAGGTTTAATGGAATGGAACAGCGATTTGTTTCCAAAAGGTCTAACAGGCTGAAGTCACACCAAATGACCAGCCAAGGCGGTGGTTGTTGTAAAGGCGGGGGCGCGGCATCAAACTGCGGAGGACACGAATCATGTTAGACATGTCCTCTTTGGGGGGGGGGGCACCCCGAGTGATTTCAATGATACTCGCGAGCTGCACCTCAAGCTCCGTCGCCGAACGCCGGATGGAGTTGCCAAGGCCAAATCCACGTACAAATCACACCCCACGCCCACCCGCACACACACACACACCCACACAAATGCTTAAACAGTTCCCCGCGTGCCACACAGCTAGAAGCCTATGAGCCTATGCTTTCACATGGGTGGATTCCGCCCTTGCCTGCGCAGCCTCAGCCGCCGCGGCCTGCGTGTCGTTCGACGCGCAGGCCTGGTGTTGCCGTCCAGAAGAAGGACACTGCAGTCAAAACAGGAACGACAGAACTCACTTGAGTGAATTCGCTAAAAGTCCCTTAAACGAAATTTTGCCTCCTAAAATGCCCTTCCCAAAAAAGTCTAAAATCCAGGAACCTAGGGAGTGAGAAGGGAAAACCGACGTCGCCTCACTTAAAGAAGGCTTTGCTGTCGAATTCGCAGATTCACAAAGCATGATCTGCATACGTCGGGATCCTAATCGGCCCATATCCGCCGACATTGCTCGGCGTGTCAAACACCTAAGAGAGGATAGAGGATAACTCCCCCCCTAAACCCCGACGTCTGATACGTAGGGTACAGGGGGGTCCCTCACGTACCGCGCAGTAATTTGATGACGTTCCACTGAACGTAGTCTTCGGGGAGCCGGTGTCAAACAGGGGTCCCAGGCTCAAATCCTCCTGCCGGCTCTTTCTCCTTTTGCCGAAAATCTGGAAAAACTCTGTGTTTGGTGGGAAATGCTGGGGAGCACATGCAGGGCGAATGAAAGGGAAACAAAGGACAAGGCAGCCAATCGGCACGACGGGAGATGTAGGGAACTGACTCGCAACGAAAGAACGGGACATGCGTGGAAAATGAAGCGGACCTACCCAGAAAATGACAGGGACATGAAGGGGGAGTTGAAAGGAATGGAAGGGACATGACCAGGACATCATGGGAAACGTGAAAAGGACATGAAGGGGAAATCAAGGGGAAAGCCAGTAGTGAGATGACAGTTCAGGGTCATGAAGGGGCAGTGCCCAGACATCGAGGCAACTCAGAATGGACGTGACGCTGCACGCAGAGAGAGGGAGAGAGAGAGCGAGAGACAGGGAGAGAGCGAAAGAGAGAGAGAGAGAGAGAGACAGAGAGAAAGAGCGAGAAAGAGAGAGAGAGAGAGAGAGAGAGAGAGAGAGAGAGAAAGAGACGGAGAAAGAGACAGACAAAGAGAGAGAGAGAGAGAGAGAGAGACACAGAGAGAGAGAGAGACATAGAGAGAGAGAGAGACAGAGAGAAAGAGCGAGAAAGAGAGAGAGAGAGAGAGAGAGAGAGAGACTAGGTCCTCCAGTATTGAGGTTAGAATAAGTGTGCGCTTGTTTCTGTAGAGGGGCGTGGACAGGAAGGAGACAGGGAGACAGGGAGACAGAAAGAGACAGAGACGCGGAGAGAGAGAGAGAGAGAGAGAGAGAGAGAGAGAGAGAGAGAGAGAGACACAGAGAGAGACAGAGAGAGAGAGACAGAGAGAGACAGAGAGAGAGAGAGAGAGAGAGACAGAGAGAGACAGAGAGAGAGAGAGAGATAGAGAGACACAGAGACACAGAGACAGGGAGATTGAGGAGAGCGAGGCTTGGGGGGATGGGAAGGATGGGGAGCAGCCGGAGGGAGAGAGGCCGACAGAACACGCGGGGGAGGAGAAGAAGGAGAAGAGGGAGAGGACAATGTCGGCGGACTGAGCCGGACGCGCTAAAGTGTGCCATAGTCCAAATTCCTGTTGGTGGTGCCCTGACCCTACGAGGGTTGACCACACTAACCTCAAGACTCAGACCCATAAAAACATCGCACGTCTGCCTCCGCCAGCGCCACTTGGCGAGGCAAGGAGTCAGGAGTGATTCGCGGGGCTGTATCCCGTTTGAGAAGGCCATCTCGGGTACAGGGGTTCTCTACGTGTCCTTTCAACGCCCCAGAAAAGGGAACCTCACCAATTGGTTTTCGCAAGCGGCCGATCGAATCCGACAAAAACTGAGCACTGCGCGTGGCAGGCGCCCATGCTGCATGGCTCAGCTCGAGCCCAAAGGCATATGCGCCGCGCCGCATGTATGGTCCAAACGCCCAGTTCCGGGGCGGGGGGGGAGGGGGGTGGCGGGGCTATATAAAGCCCAATTCCATTTAATAATCTTGCCCTGCCCCACAAAACTGAAAAGGAAACTACGAATGGAATTCCCACCTCCTTCCCCAATTCTATTTTTTAAGGGGTGGGACCTCTTTGCGTCGGCCATGGTTCCCTGAATAGGAACCGTTACAGTGGTTCTATGGGGGTTAACCATCCTTACCGACCCCAAGCACGGGGCGTGTTGCCCATGGCACACTTGTGGGTGTGACTGTTTGCTGAGCTGGTGCACTTCTTTGGGAAAGAGAAAATGCATCTTGGGGGCTCCCCCAGAATGGAGACAAACTTGCATAGAAGGTACGGGGTGTGGAACAAGGGGGGAAGCCCATCATGACTACTGATCCGTTGTGGGAGACACGGGAGACACCCATGTTGCCCAAATGTGTGAGAATGGATCTCCAAGGATAACCACTCTTGCCCCGTGTCATTTCAAGCGCCTTCCCACCAACAATCATGGAAGCGCCCCTCTTGGCGGGCGAATTTCCTCTTGGAAAAAGGGCCTGTACACTTCCATGCTTGTTGGTGGAAAGGTGCATCACATCAAAAGTCTGCAACCATGACGCTTCGCGCATGGATGGAACAGAGAACAACAAATGCAGCGACCAACGCCCGCTTTCATTGCACACTTCAATCGCCCACATGATTCCCAATGCCCCCCCCCCTCCCCCAAATCTTCCCCACCGCTTCCAATGGTACACTCAGGCACTTTCAGCTTAGATGATCGCACGGTACCTTGCTGCGCTTTGTTGGCAGGACTGTGTTTTCTCAACAGGGATCCTCACATTATACACCTGAACATTGCCTTGTAAATGGTGGTGTCCCTTTATTTTGGTGAAAAAGCAATGTTTCAAATTGGCAAAATGTATCCTTTTAAGGAAGGCAAAGTCAACGATTGAGCAGTTCAGCGCCAACTCAGTAACTCTGTGCTAACCATGGCTATGAGACGACTCCCCCTGCGGTTCGCCCAGGTCGCGTTGCCAATGTTTGAAGTCCCTTACCCCGGCCGAAAACCTGCAGCACGTTGCCTTCTTCCACCGTCTTGATGTACTCCACCAGCAGGCCACCCTGCAGATAAGTCTCATTTGGCTGTGTTTTGACAGTTGGTGCAACCAAGGGAAACCAAGAGAAATCAGCTGGGGCCCACCCCACGACTTTAAGACCGACCCCCATTCGTGCCTCCACGTCGATGAAGCGCTGTGTGCGGTCCAGGAAATCCTAAAAACGGCTGGTTGGAATCTCAGAGTTTTACAAGTTTAAACAGTTGCTTTGAGTCCAGCAACTAGGCGAAGACAACAAATAAGAGTTCAGAAGTTTGAAAGTTCGCTGTTGGACAAGGCAGAAACCCAAAGTAAGAGTTCAATCCCCAAGTAAAGCACCATCACCATGCCCAGCTCTGCTCCTACAATTGACAGACTTGGATGCGCCTTTCGTAGATTCGCACAAGTGCCTTTCCCTGATGGTGCCTTCTTGGCACTCTTTGGGTGCTGGAACTCTTTTGATATCCTAGAGGTGTGCATCCAACAAAGCCGCAAACGAGCATTTTCTTGAGCTGAGATATGGGAGCTGGAGGCATGCTGGGCTTATTCCGACATGAAGGCATCGGCGCAGACCTGAGCTATCCTGAGCTGTATACTCCCCATTCACGGACCTCAGCTTGCCCTAGGCAGGTCAGGGACTGTTGCCATGAATCCCCCGGTCAAGCAATTCCTCAACTGAAGACCTTATGCTCCTGATAAGGGGGAATGGGGTAGTATTGTGCATGAGGTACATTAATGTACATGGGGTACCCCTAATCAATGGGGTACGGCTTCGAGCGGTTTGTTAATGAGGCCAAGTCTTCCTGTGCATGGCCCACCGAGCTTCTTTCCCGAAATGTGGGGATCCTTCGTAATCTTACCATACTTTACCACATCCAGTGGCTTGGAAACCCAGCTTCCATACACCATACACGGCTGCAATGTCAGCGGATAGCAGAGGGCATGCCAATCAATGAAGGGGCATGTCCAATTTCGGCCTCTCCAGCACTCCAGCCCCCCCCACCCCGCACACCCACCCACCCCACCCCACCCCACGCCACCCCACCCCACCCTTTCTGAATGCCCAAAAAATCGCCGTCCCAACCTGCCAGGGACCCCGTGGCCCATCGCCCGTCCAGCTTCAGCAGCCCCAGCATGGCCGACATCTGGCGAACGCGCAAGCCGAAAGGAAGCGGTTTTGGGATCAGCAGGTAAGGAACTGTGGGTGCCGGGCACTTCTGACAAGGGAGCTTTGAGTATTTGATATGGGTCTGAAATGTTGAGCCCTGAGCCAACCAAGCTTTCAATCACTGATGTCCCGTGTTTCACGCACGGAAGCCATGCAAGGAAGCCGGCCTAAAGCCAGACGACCCAAGAAGCCAACAATAATGACAATTTTCCCGCTAAAGATTCGGGCAAAGTGCCGACCTGGGAAGTCCAGTCCCCTCGCCATCTTCGGATTTCAGGCCCGCTGCCCCGGGATGCTCCAAGTCCTTTCGCAAGAGGTCGACCACCTTTCGAATGCAAAGCCAAGTTGCTTCCAAAAGGTCATGTCACACCAAAGGCCGGCCAGTCGGTCCCCCCAAAACTTCCGGCACCACATATTCTGCTCAGATTCGGTTTCATCTTTCGTCTCCAACAGCGAAGCAACGAATAAACCCTAAAAAATCGAGACCTGGGGAGACCTCACCCCAACCACCAGCCCCAACCACCAACCCCAGCCACGGCTTAGGCGCCTGAGAGGAGGTGACAGTGTCCAGGCCGCAGCGGTCCAAGAGCTCCGGGGTCTTTGCCAGCGTGCCTCGGCCAGAGCCGTGCTTGACTCGTTGGGCGTTTCTCTCATCTCTACTCTTGGTATGGTAGCAAAAAACTTCGTTTTTTGCAGACCCCCAGTAAAAATGAGCCGAACCAAAAAACTAAAAAACCAAAAAACATGCCAAGAACAGTGAAGCTCTGGTTACCCCTTAATTGGTGGTTTGGATTGGTGGCTTTGGGTATTGAACCCCTGGGTCTTTGTCTAGTTGCCCTCAATTGGGGGCTTTGGGAGTTTGAACCCCTGGTTCCTGGTTGCCAACAAGTGAATGGGTGGTTTTGGGGGGTTTAACCCCTGGTTCTTTCCTAGAGAAATGAGAACCCGCCCCTTAGCCACCAAACCGATCGAAACCACCAAGAGGGAAGCTGAGTTTGCACTTACTTGAGTGGACTGGCCCCCAAAAGCTCATGGACTTGTTGGGAACACCACTTTTTGTCGCAGCTCTCAAAAGCAAAAGGTCGAACCGGGTAAGGAGATAGTGGCGGGGAAATGGCTGAGCTACAGCTGTTGGCCCGTTGTCACGTGACCCGACCCATGCTTAGGCAAAAGCAAATGCCGCAATTCCAGCTGTTGGCTTCGTCATCCCGGCCACGCAATTGTAATCTACGTTCATGCTGGAGTAACCAGGTCTGCCCGAGACCCATGGGTAAAGAATCAAAGCCCGCGAGTTTTGTTCACCCGTTTCTGGCGACTGTCCTTTGCTTCGCGCATGGCACTACTGTTTTTTGTTTTTTTTGGGAGAGGGGGGGGGTGGAGGGGGGGGTGGTAAGCAGGCTATTGTAAACATTCCCCTCAGAAGACCACAAAAAGGCAAAAAGCCTTGAGCGAATCCCATGTTTCTCTCCTTGCAGCCCTTGAAGTGCTGAAGCATGCTCGCACTCTTGCTTTCGGTTGCCCTTTGAAGGGATCCAGTTTGTCTCCCACTTCTGGGCTTCCCTCAGATCCCCCACCAAAAGTTCAACTTGTAGCGGGTTAAATTCGGAAACTTCCACTAAACCAGCTAAAAAGATCTAAACAGGCACGGCTGCTGAGTACTTCTCTTGCCGTTCTCGCACCGACGTGCTGGAAGACCTCCCTAATGTTCACCCCGGATTAATAAACTCCTGTTTATTCATATGGGGGTGTCCGATTCTGGTTTTAGTGAGGGTTTATCACTTTTGGAGGGGAACATCCGCATATTAATAAGCGGGGGTTTATTAATCCGGGGTCAACAGTATGCTACATTGATGCTTGCTTCTTGCCAGGCCTTGACCCTTTTCTTTGTGCTGTAGGTTTGAAAGGCGACTCACCCAGAATTGGCCAGCAACGAGAGATGCGTTTCTCTGGCTCAAAAGGGAGCCGGTGCCTATCCTTTTCGGAGGATTCCTCGTTAAGTCAGATGGACGGTGCGGTTCCATTTCATCTCACACTTAGGGGGGGCTTTGCTAATGGTAAGGCTCGCTTCCTGAGTGAATTTGTCATAGTTCTTTCCTTTTTTGCGACAGTGTTTTGCAGCACTGACAAAATGAGTTTTACTTTTTTTGAGTGTTTTACACTCGAAAAATGACCTTCACTGACAACACGAAGCCCGGCTGTGGCCAAGTCATGGGCCGAGGCCGGGCAAGTCCTCGCCGAGGGGCTGTTCCAGTCGGTGGCCAGTTCCTCCTCAAAGGCCACCGCGTAGACGTGCGCCAGGTTCAACGGGAAGACCATGCCTCGAGTGAATTCCCAGGCCCTCAGCTTATCATTTGCTTTTTCGGTCCTGGGGAAAAAAGAGGTACCAATTGAAAGTAGTGATAGGAAGGAATGGGTACCCTATCATTACCCTGTCACCCTTTGAAATAGGCACCCTTCACATATTTCCAGTAGTGATAGGTACCCTTTGAAACCAACCAAGGGAAAATATAGCATATCATTAAGTAACAGGTCAAATCCCCAATAAGGAAATAGGGGCGCCACTAGGTGTCTAGGTCTTCGGAAAGCTTGACCCTCAAGTCACCTGGAGCCATGGCCTGTATGACTATGCAAGGGTTGCATCGAGACTATGTGACTATATGAGTGTGCGGGTCTGCGCAGTCTGTGGAGGTCTGGTGGGACTTATGGGGTATGAGGTGAGAGGGGTCTATGGGGCTTGCGGGTCTGTGTGGTGTAGGGTCTGTGTGGTGTAATTCTGGGGCCCGTATGGCCGTCCCAAGTAGCCGAATTCTGGGTTCAAAATGGGAAGGGGGGGGCCTCATCCTAATCCATAACCCCTGGGCAATACTACAAGAAGGGAAGCCACTACTGGCAGGATAAGCATCGATGCTGAGTAACCTAGGGAAAAATCAAGAAACTGCTTGGGGATTGCCTCTGGGAGAGGCCACTCCAAACAATCAGGCACTGCTACCGGAACTATCACAAAAAATGCAATAATCGTGCTTGGAAGCAAGGCCCCCCTCTTCGAGATGAACACATGAGTCGAAGTCTGAAAAAATATGGAGCCTATGCCTTTCGATTGCAACTGACGAGCGAACGGGTACAACAAACAGCGAAACACACAAAGATCATATCGGGTTGTTCTGCTGCACGGTTAATTTCAGTTGCCCAAAACCCCCAGGAAAATAGGTTGAACCTTTTGGGGCTATGACTAAAAATGGACCAAATAGGGGAAAGGCATAGTATTGGATTGCTCTTGATTGCTGCGACACCTCCTCTGCAACAAGTATTTTCTGTGTTAAAGTTGAAGTCCAAAGATCCAACCAAATAGCCGTAAAGTGTGTTGCTACACGATTGGTAATTCTGCAATGTTTCTTGCTGTCTTGGTTCCCATTTCCTACATTTCATGATTAGTGCGCGCAGTGATTTACAGATCTTGCCACCCTCCCTCACGCTATATTGTGGGGTAAAAGTACGGTCATTTCATCCTTTCTCAATTCGCACCAGCTCCCAAACAGTAGCCACCCCTATGTCAGCCTCCACATTTCTTGGCAGTTGAGTGGTTGGGGCTGGTTTCCCATTTGCACTGAAAAAATACAAGGGCTCCACTCCCCAAATAACAAATCCAAACCACCAATTGCAACTTGTCTGAACGGTCTCCCCTTGCTGATTGCCAATCACAGAGTTAAAACCCGGGGTGGTGGAAAAATACCACGCTGGAACTTAGTGGGGAATCATCACTTTTGGAGGGGAACACCCCCCTGATCTTGATTAATCTGGGGTCAACATTACCTTAATGTACAGACTGTCCCAGGCCCCGAGCGCAAATGGTAGTGGAAGACCCGGGGGTTGTGCCGATCGAAGCCTCAGGCGGCCCGCGGTTCTCACCCACATCCATTCAAAGGCTTTGGGCTCGCACCGGCGAACCGGGGGACCGAAATCAAGTCAAGTTAGAGCACAAGCTGTGCAACTTGCAAGTTGAAGGCTGGCCAGGAGAAGAAGAAAAAGGAAGCAACCAGCAGGTTGGGCTGCCATACTGCTTGAAACCTGGACTAAATCCCCCAAAGATCCCCACACAGTGCACGAGGTGGATTTTAAGGAGCAATACTTACTTGCAGCACACCGAAAGCTGGGGCCGATTCTCACGCTCACAACTGACAATGCCCAGCCGTCGGGGTTTGCAAAACGATGACCCTTCTACTGCAGGAAGGCCCCTAAAACGGCTCCCATGATAGATGTCCCACGGGATTCACTTATGAGGCCTTGGACTTGGACCCTCAGCAACAGACCAGCAGCCCAACAGCCCCCAAAACAACCTAACAGTCAAGCAACCCAGCTCAACAGTCCAACAACCCCAGGGTTAACTTGGACCTCAACTTTTTGGGGGGCCGGGTTCCCAGTCAATTTGCAGGTGTCAATCCTGACACCGACGCCGCTCGCTGCCTGAGGGCAAGGCTCCCATAGATACTTTGGTGGAGATGCTCGTTGGCGTAGACGAGAAAGCTTTCGTGCATATTGAAACGATAACCTCAGCTTGCAGCACTTCACCCCGCGACTTTGGAGGCCGACCTTGGGGGCTCTGAAAAGGGTCCTGAAAAACCTGTCTGGGGGCACCTAAAATTTCTCCTGACAGATGGTGGGCCCAAGGTCCGATGATCAATGATCCACCTGAATTGTGCCTGGAGAGCCCAAAATCACAACAGCCACCACAGCCACAGCTTTCCCTGGTGGGCGGGAGGGTGTCGAGTCCGCTAGAGGTGCGGTTCCTGCAAAAGCTAGGAGAAGTAGCTTTGGGTCTGATAATCATCTTTATTTTGAAAGCCGAAACGATCTACAAACTGTACAATAGTTCAAAAGGATCCAAGTGTCATTAAGGACCGACATCACAAAAATGTTCTCTCGTTTTTAACCCAAAATTGGTGGATCGCTGGATGCCCATAACAAGGGAAGATATATTTTGGCCCACAACTGCCGGCCACCACGCCCAGGCGAGGCTGAAGTGCCGAAGGCAGTCAAAACCATGGGTCAAAATCCAAATCGTACCCCCAGTGAACATCCCAATCCCCACTAAAATAGGTTCTAAAATGGGTGGTGCACCTACCCGAAATGGTGGTGTTGACCCACACCCTTTTGCCCCAAAGAAGAGTAGGTGTCCCTTTGGTTTCCCTTTGAAGCCCACCAAAAGCGGGTCCCAGAAAACACGAGCGACCCATAAAGGCACCCCGATACTTGTCCCAATGCGTCTGGTGCCGCTGAACACCTAGGCCCCTGCAGTCTTGGCACACCTCCCGCGCGCGAAAATGGGCGCCCTAACATGAGTGACGTCCAGTTCACGGTCGGGTCGCAGAACCTATTTTCACCCACCCCCACGGCTTTGAGGAAAAAAGAAAAAAACACCTTGGGGTCATTTCCCGAGAGATTCCTTCAGGTGGGGGGGGATCAGCATCGATTCCCATCCCCATGACCACGTTATGAGTTGGAAGGGCATAGAAAAAAGAAAGAGGCCTGCAAACCGAATTTCCCGAATTTATCCAAACAGAATCAAGGGGCAGCAAGGGTGAGTGCATGTCGCCCTTGGGGCCGTATTGCGGGGCAGCGGCCGTTTCATGCTTCAAGACCATTCTTTCACCACAACAATCACATGATCTGCCCGCGTCGCACTTGCCAAACATTGACAAGGCTCCCCAACTCTTCGCAGTTCGTCCATGATGAAAAATATAAAATCCCAGCGCGTCAAACTGCATTCAACCTCGATCCGGTCCGCCGTTTTCGAAGTGCGAATGCACGAGCTAGTTGGCCCGGGGCTACCTCTAAGTTCTGCATCACCACTTGCTGGCTCCATGTGTTTCTTGGGCGAGAAATTTGAGAATATGAAAGCGCCACTGGGGGCCCAAAGCATCAAGCCCGCGACTGGCTTCTCACCCTTTCAGGCCTTCCGGTATAGCCGCAACGCCTCTTTAATGTGCATCACCAGGGGCCTGCGGAGGGAAACAGTGCCCCCGGGCCAAAAACCGGCAAACTTTGCCCCCCTACATGAGGCATACCCATATGGCTTATATGGAAATGAAGCTGACCAACTACACCATACTAAGAGTGGCGGTGACAGTGAGAAACCCAATGGCGGACCCTATGAGGCTAAGTGGAATTCCTTGGAAAACGTTGTTTTTCAAGAGGAGGACGGCCCCTGCAGAATTTGTGGCTTGGTTATGTGGTTATTATGTGGGCGTGATGTTTCAACTAGGGAAAGCTTTGGTGGACATCATGTATTTATCTCCACCAACAATGTTGAGGGTTCTCTCTTAACTCGGTTGCTTTCTTCTCCCCTGCTAAAAGTTTAACTTTTAGTGGTTGAATGGAAAACCCATGAGTTGGCAAAAAGTTAACATCCAAGCAGAATGCACCAAAGTTGAACATCCATTTTCCACAGCTCGCGCGCTTCCGCTCACGCACTGAAGGTTGGCATGGTGCAGGACCAGCATGGATGGGGCCGTCCTCTATCTTGGCCCCGATGTGCACCTCTCAAGGGATACCTGCCAATGGTTTTTTTGAGGATCTTCTGGTTTACACCCCATTTTGGGGGGGCAAAACAAAAATATAAACCGGAAAAAACGCAGGTGAAAACCCCCGGAGAAAAAAAAAAAACAATTGCAAGGTAGACAGTACACATGGCACCTAGCTCGCGATATACGGCGCGGGTCCCGTAAACTTAGCCCCGCGCGATGCTGCCACGATCGCTCTCTCATCCACATCCTTGGCCGAGGCCCGGGTTGGGTTGCAGTGATGCCGAGGAAGCCACCTCTTTCAGTACAGGACTCATCGGAAAAATCGCCTCAGTGGCATCGCATCAGTGGTATCGCATCAGTGGTATCACATTGGTGGTATCACGTCACTGGCATCACATCGGTGGTTCACACCAGTGGTATCACATCGGTGGCATCACATCGGTGGCATCACATCGGTGGCATCACATCGGTGGCATCACTGATCACATCGCTGGTATCACAACAGTGGTGTCACACAGCAGTGGTATCGCATCAGTGGTACAACACCTGATGCCATGAAGGACGATGTGGCGAAGTTGCAGAAGCCACTGGCGGCTATTTTAGTGGGGAAACAAATTCTCTGGGTTGTCCAGGCAGCCCTGGGAGCATCGGGGTATCAGTGGTATCACATCAGTGGTATCACATCGATGGTATCACATCGGTGGTATCACATCAGGGTATCACATCGGTGATATCACATCAGTGGTATCACATCGCTGGTATCACATCAGTGGTATCACATCGCTGCTATCACATCAGTGGTATCACATCACTGGTATCAAATCAGTGGCATCACATCGGTGGTATCACATCGGTGGTATCACATCAGTGGTATCACATCAGTGGCATTGCATCAGTGGAATCGCATCAGTGGTATCGCATCAGTGGTATCGCATGAGTGGTATCACATCATTGGAATCACATGGGTGGTATCACATCAGTGGTATCACATCAATGGTATCGCATCAGTGGTGTCACAGCAGTGGCATCACATTGGTGGTATCGCATCAGTCGTATCACATCGGTGGTTTCACATCGGTGGCCACATCGATGGTATCACATCGGTGGTATCACATCGGTGGTATCACATCGGTGGTATCACATCGGTGGTATCACAGCGGTGGTATCACAGCGGTGGTATCACATCGGTTGTATTGCATCAGTGGCATCACATCGGTGGTATCACATCGGTGGTATCACATCGGTGGTGTCACATGAGTGGCATCACATGGGTGGTATCACATTAGTGGTATCACATCGGTGGTATTGCATCAGTGGTATCACATCGGTGGTATCACATCAGTGGTGGTATCACAGCGGTGGTATCACAGCGGCGGTATCACATCGGTTGTATTGCATCAGTGGTATCACATCGGTGGTATCACATCGGTGGTATCACATCGGTGGTATCGCATCAGTGGTATCACACCGATGGTATCACATTAGTGTTATCACATCGGTGGTATCACATCAGTGGTATCACATGGGTGGTATCACATCAGTGGTATCAAATCAGTGGTATCATGTTAGTGGTGTCACAGAAGTTTTTTTTTCCTCACAACCCTGTACACCTTTGCCTCTGCAGAATTGAAGTTTTTGTTGACCTTTCTTTCTCCGCAGCTCTTCTCCAGTAATTCATCCAAACTCGAATCAGTTGAACCAACCGCCTGGCACAGGTTGAGCAGCTTCGCGGGCCAACAGCCGCTATGAGTGGCTGTTCGTTGGTTTCTGCTCCCCTGCTAAAAGTTTAGGGTTTAGTGGTTTAATGGAGAACCCATTAGTTGGCAAAAAGTTAAAGTCCTAAAATCCAAGCAAAATGCACCAAAGTGTTGATCTCAAAGGCCCAGAATAGATGAAAACGACCCAACAATATAATACAAGGGTTGATACCAGGGCCACATTCTTCTCATGGCGTGATTTGTGGTTCAAATGGCGCCACAAACGAATTTGAATCCTTCATGCGCTTCTTGTACTTTCCGTTCTGGGTGGCCCCAGGACGGTTGGAAACCATGTATCCCCAGGTTTGCCGCTAAGGGAAGGGGGGGTGCAGCACGGAGCTTTGGCATACAGGCCTGCCATCTTTACCGGCCTCGTTGTAATAAGTGCTGACCATCTACTTCAGGGAATGGGCTCTGCTGTATGCTTTGAGTCACCCGCAAGGAGCGTATCATGTCCCTGGCCCCCCTATGAACCCTGATGCATGAGTGGAGCGGTTCCTTCAACCCAAAAAAGGGGGGCAGCTGGAGGGATGTGCAAGGGTTCCTCAGTTTGAACGAGCCAAAGGGTCAAAAACCGGTGCCTGGATCCACCAGCGCAACCCACAACGACACGCGGATCGCCGCCCAAAGGGCCGCGGCAGTTAAAACATCCATCAGGGCGGCCAACTCCACCTTCGAGTCGTGCGTTGCGCCGTTTCAGGGTTTAGGCTTTTCTCCCCTTGAAACATCCGGCTCGCCTTGCTTCGAAGGGAAAAAAAAAAACAGGTTGGCTTCCATGATTCAATGTGTTGGCGAGCATATGCCCTGTGGAACATGCTCTGACATTTCAGCTTTTGGACTGCCCTTTTGCGGTTCACATCACAAAAATCGCTTTGGGAAACACTACGAAATTCGGGGGACCCCGAAGGATGCAAATTGTCCGGGGTAAAGAGACTTGGGGGAGAGGGCCTTAGAGGAATTCTTGGAATTCCCTGAGTTCGAGCTTCCAAGTAAAATGGAATCTGCTCCTGGAACGATGCCCCCCCCCTCCCCCGCCCCGGACCAGAGTTCGGGGCATCCGACCTCCGCACTGAAGAAGTCCGCGATGTCGGCCAGCGCTTGGATCTGGGCCAGGGTCTCCTTGGAAGCCTCGCCCGAAATGGCTGGCTTTGCTTTTTTTCGGGGTGCCGCAGTCCTCAGTCCTGGATCCTGTTGCGCGGCCTTTCCCTGCTTCACCTTCGGACCTTGGCCTAGCAAGGGATGCATACAATCCCT